TTTAGGAGTATGTGTATTCTAGCAATATTAAGTCAGTGGTAATTAAAAATAACACTTGTTGTGAGAATCCTAATTCTCCTAGTCAAAATGAGTAGATTTCAAACCTCTCATAATTTTCCATTTGTATCATTATCCCTTCTAAGGACACATATCTCTGACTGTACTCGCTGCGATGAGTCAGTCTGAATTGATTTATTTCTGTCCCCTTGGACGTCAAACATCTTTGAGGTTTGTGATTCTCTGTAAATGCAACACTTATAAAAATAATAACTTCAAGCATCTTTCAAAACAAAGTTCAGTGCTTTCGATTAAAACAGATGTCACAAGTGGACAAAACTCAAACTATCTTCAACTATACCCGTAGTTAAGAATACATCATACCATTAGAAAGATATGAACAAATACTGACTGCCTGTTAGACATCTCCAGTTCCACAGCTGAGCTTTAACAACGAAAGTCTGACAAGTTGTGATTTAAGAACAGTTAGTAAATAGCCCTGCTGGAGTGTTTCAGGCGGTGATCAGGCTCGTAGGGGTTATAGCAGATAGAAGCAGGAGTCTGACCGTTTAAGGCTGTAAAACAAAAGTAAAAACTTAAATTAAATTGAGAAACTCACAGGTGACCAGTGAAGGGCACCAAGGTTCTGTGTAATGTGGTCACTTCTCTTAGTACTTGATAAAAGCAGCAACGTCTTTGTCTGGTTTTATCACCTGCGTGTGTATTGTGCATCTTGGCACCTGGTGTTTGAGGATAAAAATAAGAAAGTGACAAAGATGGAAATGCTTTTATCCTGGACAGTTTAACATCCTGCTGAATGCATTTAGTATTTTTACATCATGTTCGTGTTTGTTGAGAGTCACTTAAGTATAAAATTGGCTTAAATGTCCACGTGCACTGATGAACACGGTGATGATGTCAGACCGAAACACGCAGAGAGGTCAGAGCAGGATGAGACAGGTGTTGTTGGGATGCAGCAGGATGTTGTGCGTCTCTGTGTGAGTGCATGTAACCTGATCCTCTCCCAGAGGGTCACTGCAGGTCCGACCCTTGGCCTAATTCCCAGCATTCACCTGCAGAGGCACTGTCAAGCAGCCAGTGCAACCAAGCAGGCATGAGCAGCAGGGGAAGGAGGGAGGGAGGAGGAGGAGGAGGCAGGAGCAGAGGTGGATAGGGGAAGAAAGAAAAAGAGGGAAGGGACATACAGGCGGAGGAGGAGGGGATAGAGAGAGAGCTGAGTGGAAAGAGTTTACAGTAGAGAGGGGGAGGGAGGAGAATTGTCAGCGTAGGCCAGCCCAGTCAAGTCTCAGCAGCAGGGACTGTGTTTGCCAGTGTAGTGTTTCTACACTCCACACACACTAACACACACACACACACACACACATACTGCAAAAACACTGAGGAGGCTCATGGAAATTTAACAGGGGAGCGGCTGCAACAGAGGACAGGAGAGGAGGAGGAGAAGGAGGAGGAGGAGGAAGTTAGCTGAGTCAGTCCAGAGGAGAGGGAGCGTCATGTGTTACAGCATGTCTGTGTCGTAGTCTGCCCCCCCTCATCAAAACACAGAGGCTGCCTGTCCAGTAGAGGAGCAGCAGGGGAGCTGCACTGAGAGAGGAGGAGAGAGGAGAGCACTGCTGGGTGAGTGCGACACAGAGGTGATGCTGGTGGGATGAAAGTTGTAGTGACAGTGTAGATGTGTGTTATTCTACACAGGATGGAGAGTGTGTGTGTGTGTGTGTGTGTGTGTGTGTGTGTGTGTGTGTGTGTGTGTTTGTAATGTGAGGCCCTGCTCCTGCCTTCCTCTCTGTTTACATGTATGAAGTCTTGAAGTTTTGCACATGGACACTGACACGTTCACTCATGAATGACTGTCAGAGGAGTTACAGTTTCCAGGCAGCCTCAGTCGGCTTTCTGTTTTGTTTGTGTGTGGGTTAATTAATAACAGACAGCTCTTTCTGTGTGTGTGGGGTCAAACTAACTGAGACCGGGCGTCCACATGGTTACACGCTGACCCCATCATGACCTTTTAAATGGCCAGTAACATGGTGAAGGGGTGTGAAGTGTAAATTTGGGCTTCATCTTCTTTTCTGGTGTTGTTTCTGTGTCAGTGAAGAGGTTACACACAAGACTAGTTTCCACTCTGACAAGGTCAGGAAACAGGAAACCCAAGACACGTCAACAGCATACAGCCATCTTATGATAAAACTGTGTTCATCTCTGCATGCATGACTGTGAAGGTGCGGAGGGTTTTATTTGTATCTGATTATGTAACATCAACAGAGAAGGTAGCCGCAGGTATTCAGAGTGACACTAATCACGCAGCATTGAAATTAAATGTGGGGCCATGTTTTCTTTTTTCACAACAAAGTGGTCCAATATAGCGCCTTTAAAAATATCTTTTTCTATATATAGATGAGATGAGAGAGGTAACATGTAGTCGGCCAACAATTATGTAGAATCAGTCTTGGCAGAGTTTTGAAGTGTTTTATTGTTCTTGTGTTCGTGTGAGCAGTATGTTCAAATAAAATAAAGAGATCCTCCAACTGTGCTGCGAGTGTCACACAAAGAAGCTCTTTGTAGCAGTGACACAGGTGAGGACAGTGAGTCAGAGACACACACACACACACACACACACACACACACACACACACACACACACACACACACACACACGTGTTAGTCCATCTTGTAGCACAACATTTAATTATCTTCTTATTCTAATCAGTATATATATACGTATACTGAAATTTTTTAAAATTTTTATATATATGTATTGACCAACATATTGGTATTGCACATTTTTATAATTCCCCAACATTGGTATCTGCTCCAGCCCTCCAAAGTCCACATCTGTCAGGCTCAAAAACACTACAAAAAATTTAATAAAAATGTATAACAAGTAAAAGATAAATGTATGTTCTGTGTATTTGTCTCAAAGAATTGAAAGAATTGATCTAATTCACACATCCTGACAGTCACCTCTGTGTGTGTGCAGCCATGTTGTCTACTTCATACATAATTAATGAATGGATTAGATTCTGAATCTCAGCACATCCTCAGTGTACAGCCACATTATGTCCTTCTGTGCTCACATCTAAAACTCCGAGAGAGACACAGCTCACATGCACACACAGGTTCCAGATGATCTGAATGTTAAAGGGCTGCGTCATATTTGTACGTTTGCCTGCCCCTGCGCACCTTCGCACAGATCTGAGTCAGTGACGGTGACATGAGGTAAAAAATTTCCACCTCTGCAAACCGCGGCTTCACATGCAGGAGAAATTCCATCACATGAGTCCACAGCTCAATGTTGTGTGTTGTGGAGGCCAGTGTTGCTGCAACATGATGCCACAGCCAAGTGTTGCGGTGTGTGGCTGTGGTGTGGGAGACAGACAGAAAGACAAACACAGTGGATTTCAAAATGGAACAGGTCACTGTTTCAATGTTTTTTTTAGGAAAGTGACTGGCAGAGATCAAGGAACGTCTCTATCAACTTGAAATAGTGGGAAGGATTAGAAAATGACACACTCTGGAAAATGTTGAAACAATGTGTGATTATGCTTGTCACAGGCAGCAGAACTGGTTTGTCTGTAATGATTATTCATACTTGCAGGGTAAAAATTTTTTTGACACCCTGGGAAGAAACATTGTGCAGCAGCTGACGTCCTTAAAAAGTGATTCTGTGGTGGAAAACACCACACAGCCAATCAAGAAACTAAGATACGTTAAATGAATTATATTAATTAATCAACAGTTTTTTACTTTTTAGAATATTAATCATGCATTGCTCAACAGTAGAATACAAACAATGCTGCAGAAATTAGTCCCATGCTGTAAGCCTGAAAATAATCCTTTCATTTCAGTAACAGCTAAATTAAAAACAAGTTGCGAAACAAAGACGACATTTGAAAGAAGTGGTTTTAAAGGACATCTTCGGTCTATATGATTTATGTGGTATACAAATAACCCCTTAGTTAATCGTTTAAAACATGGGTGGAGTTATTTATTCATGGTGTTTGGCTTTAAGCCTAAATTCTGATGCCGTTCCCATGTTTGCGTGCAACATGCTCACACTTGTTTAAATATACACTCCATCATGCATAATCCAACAGACTCCAGCATGAAGTGTGTGTCGCCTCAGTCACGTTTCTCTGATCCACAGACTGAAGCTGAGAGTTTGACTCAGAGGGATGAGAGGACGCTGCTGACCGAGGCCTCGACGAGCCTGCAGAGTCTGCCTCTTCAGCCGGTGTTCTCCGACGTCCCGGTAATCACCGGAGTGGAGGAGAGCGGAGGTGCAGCCGCAGACCAGGAGGACAAGGACGAGCTGGAGTTTCCACACGACCTGCTGCCCAGTCTAGACTTCAGCAGTGAGTTCAACATCTGGGGGTCATCGCTGGGGTAAGTTTAGGGGTCATACACACACATACAGTTGCACACACAACTGTGCATGAAAGATAAAACCAGGACTTGATATCACAGAAAAAAAACTTGGTTTTTGATGGCTGTTCCAGTGACAGGAAGTGTGGTTCATGTAAATAAACAGCAGGGAGTCAAACCAGAGTGTTCGTGTATTTTCTATGTAAGACGTATAAAAAAACCTGCTGTCACTATGGCTGTTTTTAGACACACACTCCAGGGAATGTCCGCACATATGAAGAACGCAGCAGGAGATTTTCTGCTAGACACATTCACAACAATAAAGAAATCTCCAGAACTTTCAGGCGAGGCTTGCCTAAAGCAGGACATAACAAATAAGTTCCACTGCGGAGATTACTTGTTTTTGTTTACAGCACATCGACTTATCCCCAAAAGCTCTTCTGACATCTGCGCCTGTGTGTGCTATTTTTATGACACAGCTCTTTAATCCTGAGATATTCTGTTTTTCTTCAGTTTTTTCAGTTTTGCGTCCGTAGTGCGTTAAAAATGTCAATGACATTCCCACTCACTCGCCATGAATTCTCTAGGCATTTTCCTGCTGTATTCTCACATGGGGTCACATGGAGGAGGAACTCTAGTGCCTCTCACTCTAACATTTATGTTCTCATATACACAGCCCCTCTGGAGAATGTCAGGATATTTTTCGATTTTTCGAGTATTAAATTTGATGTCTATTCATTAAAAAAGAAAACATTTTTTATTGAAATCCTCAAAATTTGAATCTACAGGCTCTGAGTTACATGACATCCCTGGACAGGCCACCGATGTGTTGGTGTATATAGAGAGAAGACTGGCCATGTGCTCCAGAAAGCTCGGCCAAACACGGGGAGGAAGTTAAAATGATGAGAGACACATAGACAGATAGTTACAGTGTGATTTTAGTTTTAGTTTTAAATGGCTTTCAAAAGTCTAACTTTGCTTTGACAACACACATGTACTTTTCACATAAGGACTTTATCATACTTAAGCTCATACTTAAGCTTTATCATAAAAAATTATAGTGTTGTAATGAGATACTCAGGAAGATGCAGGGTCACCATCATATTATAATCACTGTATTATGGCATATTACGTATTTATTCTGTTTGATTTACGGCTGCAAGGGAACCGATATTTATGAATTACGCAGTCAAGGTGAATGTTAATGTGATATTGATCCGTCACTTGTGTGAATGTCTGCAGAGCTCAGACGAGCTCAGGGAAATGTGAGCAGGTGAACCCTTTGCTGCCGGACCTGCAGCATCACGTGGAAGTGAGTGGACCGCAGGTGGTTCTAGACACAAGGTACCTCAGAGACTCAGCATGAGGATGATGATGATTTACTGTGTAAAGATTAAAACCAGGGTGCTTGGAGTGTTCAAGTATTTCTAACTTATACTTGAGTGTGATGGATCACAGTCGGGTGAGGTCTTGGCTTCAGGTGTGGTCACCTCCTTTGTTTCATGCTCGGGTGAATTATCTGCGGACTGACTCAAGTGTCACCTGTTGTTCTGCTTTTGTCTCAGTGCTGAGATTAATTGCACTAATATTTTGATAGCCTGAATGAGTTCTGTGTGACGCCCCTTACAGCAGAAGTGCAAATAATATTGCTCCTTGTGTAACACCTTGAATTCTTAATTAATTTGCAGGACAGATTAAACTCTAAGAAATGATCAATAAAAAATGGACATAATTCCTGCAAATTACCACAACAAACGTGTCATAAAATGCCAAAGTGCAAGAAACAAATATTCTGGTAAAACTAGTCATATGATAACAGTTGACATATCGTGCTGCTCCACCCTTTAGCAGGGTGAGTGCCAGGTGGCTAAGATTCAGGCCTGTGTGTCAGGCTAGTCAGGTGTAGGTAGTAGTTGTTCTTCCAAGGAAATGACAGCTGAGGAGTCATATGAGGCCATGTATTACCAATCACATACACTTATAAAATTATAGTATTTACAACTTTATTTATTATCTTATATCTGGACATGATTAATGACTCAAGTAGAAGTGTAGATCATGTTTTATATGTTACCTATATAATAATGTATCTGTACATACTCATTATGGGACTTAGAGATGAAGATGACCCCACACCATTTTCCTGTAAGACAGTGGCTTAGCAGTGACTCAGCAATTACAGCTGAAAGAGAAATAGCTACCCTGCTCTTTAACTTCTTAATGCTAACTGTCTACATTGGGAAGTGTTATACAGGGCAATGCCTCTGCTCTGATATCTAACTTATAAGATACTAATCTTATATGAGCATCTAGGCAAGGTTTAAGGTTTACTCTGCCATTCACCCAATCATACACACATTCATACAGTTCATCTCACACCCCATTCAGGGGTGTTGCAAAGCAGGCTATCACCTGGAGCTCTAAACTCAGAGGAGGCTTCCAAGAATGACTGATTACATTATTTAACAGCAATGAAAATTGTGTAGGGCACACAACTGCCCTTGAAAGCTGCCAATGTGCTTCTGTGCTTCTGTATGTATCCTAAGACATGTGTTTTGGTGTGTATGAACATACGTGCATGTTCATTGCCATATGCATAGAAAACAGCTGGTATTATGTCTTGCAGAGGAATGCACATGTCAGAATAGGCATCCTGAACACTGTTGTGTGTGCAGTGAGCATGGGCTTCAATTGCAGTGCTCTGTGGCATCGTGGAATGAGCAGCTGCCTGCCTGATGGTCCTAACTCCTTCGCTCTGTCACCCTACCCTTGTCTCAGGCCTCATGACAGCGACCCAGTTTCCACAGGTGCCCAGCCTCCACCTCAGCCTGCTGCCACACCTCACCAGGGTGTCCGACCCCTGACCCCTTCCTCGTCTGCGCTCATAGACAGGGAGCTGCAAGAGGCCTTCCAGGAATGTGAAGAGCAAATGGCCTCGCTGGGCATACTTACTCCCACAGAGCAGCCCGGCATCCCACAGGAGACTGTTCATAATGAAGGAAAGAAAACTGGAGGCGTGATAGTTAATAAGTCCAGTGAGTCATCGTCACTGTCTCCAATCATAGTCCAGCCAGGACAAAGCAGCGGAGGCCATGGAAACAAGAACACACATGGAAACAGTGAGGCAGCAAACACTCAGAAGGACATACTTGTGTTTAGTTTCAGGAATTATATAATGGGCACTGAGGATAGTGCCGGAGCAGCAGAGACACAAAGTGAAATAGAAGTGACACAGAGCACAGATGGATGTGCAGAGATTATGTCGGAAAGAGAACGAGAGGTAGATGAGCAGAGGAAAACACCCTCATCAAAGCCAGATTCATTTAAAGAAACCCCAAAGGACGTTGTGTCCCCTCAGCAGAGAGACAATCTAATAGAGGAGAGTGTTGATTCTAATGCAGCCACTGAGGAAAATGGCAGATTAGATTGTAACACAGTGATTAGGGACAAAGGCCCAGAGGTAATAACAGACACTGCAGACATAAAGAAAGAAAATTACAGTGATGACTGCAGTATTAGTGTTTGTATAGCTGAATCTGAGAAGAAAGAGGAGTCAGTTAATGAAATATTGGGAGGCAAGAGTCTTCATTTTAATGATAATGATTCATTTTCTGAGTTGAAGTCAGAAGCACAGACAGGAACAGACTTTGAGGAGAATCAGTCAAAAACAGACAAACAGATGAATTCAGCGAGTGACAGACAGGCCGGGCAGGACAAAGGGACAAAAAAGAAAGACAAGAAGAAACAAAGGAAGAAGAAAAAGAAGAATGCAGAGACTGAACAGAAAGCAAAGGCAGGAGTACAATCTGACAATGATTTGCAGGCTGAGTCATTCATTCAAGCGGATTCAGAGGCAAATCCACAATCAGTATCAGGGGCAGACACTCTGACTGTGATTTGTGGGGAACAGCCTGATAATGGGTTTGATTACAAGCAACAGCTGAGTCCTGCAGGACAGCCCAGCCCCCCGCCATCACCCTCACAGAGCAGACAGGATCGTCTTACTGACTGTTCACCTGCGTCCAGCAGGGGCCTTTCTCAGAGGCCTCATCCGTCAGATAACCTCCGCCCTACAGATGCCCCATGTGGCGCGAGCTCAGACAACAACCAGCAGTGGAGGTTACATGCAACCGGAGGTGTTGTCGACAACCAAAATACACCCGTGACACATGTCCAAACTACAGTTATCAATCCCTGTGCTTCTGGTGATAAGCGATCGGATGCACAAACACAGGAGGCTATAGTTACCACAGAAGCAGTGATACTCACACAGGAGAAACTGAGCCCACTCACCAACAGTCAAACTTGTGTGGGAGAGAGTTGCATGGAGAGTGCCCTTGAACAGGCTATAGTGGTGGTAGCTGCGTTGCCACTGACAACACCCACGATGCCAGAAGTGATAAAAAGCAACGGAGAGGGAGAGAGCGTGAGTTGTAATTCACAGGAGAGAGTAGCTACAGCATTTGCAGAGAGTGAGAAAGCAGGCGCAGAGGAGGGATTGGGAGAAAGAGAAAAGTGCCTCAGCTCTGCAGACGGAGAGAGAGAAGGGTCCCTGGACAGCCCTCCTCAGCTCCCATTAATCTGTTCACAGGGAAAATGCTCACTTGCATTCTCAGCCAATGACGGACAGTCCGTGTCTGAGAAAAGCTGCAGCGGCAAAATGCCACACAACTCGGCTGAAACGGAAAGGAAGGGACCGCGAGAGACCACCGTTCACGGCGCAGATGCAGAAAGCTCACCAGTTGAAGAGGGAGACAGAGAGAAGGAGACGCTCCTGTTAGAAGCGTACATCAATAATTCTCCCCTTGGGATACTTACTGGTCCTGATCGTCAGGCTCACGGTGCTGTGGGATTGGAGGGTGCAGGAGAGGGGGGAGGAGGAGGAAGAAAGGAGGTGGAAGAGAAAGGAGGGCTGGCTACAGAGCACAGTTCATTCAGCCAGCCAGAAGGCTATGCTAGTGGGGTGTCATCAGCTGAGACTGAGAAGTGTCCGCCCACTGATGTTGCAGAGTCACAGCTGAAGTCACAGAGCTGGAGGGAGCCGATTGCTGCCGTCGCTGAGAGCATCTACACCGAACCAGACTGTAACTCCTCGCCTCTCCCCACTCATCCTGAGCAGAGCTCCAGCAATGCAAACAAAAGGGTGAGGGCTGATCTCGAACAGAATTTGATTCCAGGCGGAGCAGTGTCTTTGGGAGACAATTGTGAGGAGCCAGCCATCACAGAGACAGAGAGAAACGACAGCCAATTCTTGCTCAAACCTCAGCCTCTGACTTCTTCACAACAAGCCCCAGTCCAGCGGCAATCAAGCAACGATCAACAGGTACAGCCTGAGAGCAGCACAACAGAGGTCCGGACCACAGAGTGTGCAGCTGAGTTCCAAGTTCAAGCCCATAGCAATACTGGTAACCCTGCTATGTCTGGAGTGGCTGTGTATGTGTGTGGAGGTAACCACAGAGTTCGCTTTGCAGACACAGTGAAAGAAGAGGGCAGTTCCTCTGTGGATCTCAGGAACAGATCAGTGCTGGCGATGGACTGCGCCTCTTTGCCTCCCCTGACAGTACATGAGAGTTTACATCACCCCGTGGTTGAGGCCAGCTACATCTTCCCGGATTTCCTCAGCTTGAAGAGGCCAGAAATCTCCACGAATGCAGTTCCTACCAAGGATGAATCAGCAACACAGAGTTCAGCAGACTTTCCGAAAGAGCTCGAGTTGGATAAAGGAGATTTGGCTACCAAAGAAATCAAGGAGGATGTTGCAATAGATCTGTCAGGTAATATCAACTCAGTGACTAACACTGTGGATTTCGAATCAGTGACAGAGGCCTGCACAAAACAGCTTCCATGTCATACAGAGACAGGTCAGACTGGTAATGACGAATGTTTTGACCTTTTACAAACAGCAGGAAGTGCCATCACTAACCCTGACCGTGGAACATCTGGACAGGTGACGACAAAGATGATCAAAAAAGAAGAGGCAAATTTAAATCTGTGTTTGTCAAAGGAGAACGAGGCGAATAAGTCCCATGTTGACTCACATATTTCAGTCAAGCCTGACGAGTCTCCTTCGCTAAATGATGCCGCTGTCATTCATGAAGAAAAAGAAGGTAACCAACCTCCCCTCTCTTCACGTTCTGTGTGTCCAGCTGAAAATATTACCTGTGATCCTTTAAGTGACATCTCTGCTGAGGTACCTGTTGGGACGATCTTCACTGACTTCGACCCTGTTTCAGAACCTGAAACTGTCACCATAACGTGCACTGCCTCTTTTCAGACAAAACCCAGTGACCCTGGTTATCAGTTGCCAACCCCGTTAGATCAAACTCTTCCTTGTGGAGAAGCTACGACAGATCCTTTGACTGATCAGCAGAGTGAGAATGAATCAGGGACTTCAGAAGTGACAATCTCTGACCAGTCAATTCCTGCCATCGAGCAATGCGCCAGTAATCCTGCTTTTGTGCTGCGGCCCCCTGGCCCAATGTTGAGTCACTGGGAGTTCATTAATGACTGTGGTATCTGTCTTCCTGAGGATACAGCGAAGCGCAGTGCTGATGGTGACGGCACCAAAGTCTCCGGAGAGGTGGAAGACAGCAAGAGCGGGGAAATGACACACATGTCTTTAGCGTGGGATCTGGAGCACACTGATGTCAGTGCTGAAGCAGATGAGACAAAACTGCAGGACAGAAATTATGGCATAGAGGCTGAGATAAAACATAATGTGATAAATGAAGCAAATATTACATTTTCACAAGAGGAAAATCTGTTTCAGCCTCTTGGTTCAGTGGGGGCTCTTGCAAAAGATGATTCTGATAATTTAATTTCTTTATCTCAAACAGAACCTGACTCTATTGCAAATAAACCTGTTATCTGTGAAGCTTCCATTAGGAATGACCTCATCGATGATATCGGCCCACTCGGCTCTGACCCGCCCACCAACAAGGCCTCTGATGATGTGAAAAAAGACAATATGGGAGGTCATCCATCTTCCGTGCTGTTTGAGGGAGACAGGACAGAAGTTGGAGAAGCAACAATGGATAATCAAAAGGAAAAGGAGAGCAGTAGCGAGCTGCTAAAAGGAAAACCACAACAGAGTAATGGACCAGATAAAGAGGCTGCAGGGGAAACTGGAGACCTGCAGCCACCACATAAACATAAAGTAGAAAACACTGAGTCACCAATAAGGGAGGAAGGAGAGGAGACTTCTTCCTTTTCCCCAGACAGACCTGCAGGGTCGTCTAAATACATGCTCAACATCGAGTCTGCTAGGGAACCACAGACTGTTTCTGCTCAGAGTTTGTGCCAAACTGCGACAGCAACACTGGAATGCTGCACCGACAGGGAGCCGGTACCAGGTTTGAGTGCAGCTCTTGGCCAATCACCAGATCCAACCTGTTTTGCTCAGCAACAGGAGAAACAGCAACAGCAGTGTCAGGGATTCAGACACCCCATAGAGGAAGTATCAGGTGGTTGCCTAGAGGGGGGAGAAAAAAACGAAAAGGCCGAAGCACTTGTTCCAGTGAGAAAAGAGGCAGAAGAAGGAATCGACGGCACTGTCGAGAGTTTGTGTCAGTTAGGAAGCAGGAAGGAGTTGATATGTGATGACAGCAGAGGCTATGAACAAGTGTCAGGTCCAGAGAACGGAGAAGGAGAGGGATCACAAGCTGTAAAAGGAGTTGACAGGGTTTATGTGCCATCTCACACCGGCAGTGATGTAAATGAGAGTGGAGGGGCTGCTGAGAGACATGCACCGACTGACATAGTGATAGGAACAACTTGCTCTGGTGTAGGTGAGACAGTACAGGTGGTGGATGGGAATAAAACCCCTGGGTTAGTGGTAGTTAGTTCAGATGCAGATTTAATGCACAGCCCTGAGTCTGTGAGTGATATGGATGGTAAAGGTCAGCAAAAAGGCAATCTGTCAGCTGCATGTCAAGACCAACATGAGACCTCAACGAACACTGCTGTTCCTGTTGAGTCTGCATCACAGGAACATGAGACTTCACCTTTCAGGATACCGGTTTCATCAAAGGTCAGCACAGATAGTCATGACTTTCATACAACTGTTCTTCCAAGTGCAAAACAGGCGCAGGAAATTCGTACAGAAACATTCAGTGTTCTGCCTGATTCTAAAGAGCAACCAGAAACTGTGGAAAATGATCTGAGTGCTGCAGTAGCAGTGAAAAGCAACAGTAGGGAGACTGAGGAGTGTGAAGTGCTGGATACAGTGTGCAGATCTCTTGAGCTGCAAAGCCCCAATAAAACCTCAGCCACACAGAGCAGCCCAATTGTACAAACAGCCATAAAAGGCCCTGATGTAGAGGAGATCACAAGGGAAGATAAAGCAGCTTTGGACGGAGAGAAAGCTAGCAGCCAGGGGAACGGACAAAGTGATAGAAAAGCAGTAAACACTGAAGCCAGGGAAAAACAAGGGGTTGTAAATCAACCTCAGAGTCACTACGAATCAGTTAAAGCTTCAGAGCTCTGTGAAAGTGGGTTGTCAGACGGAAGCACAGACACTACTGTTTGTCATTCTGAGGGGAGCATTGCTCTCTTTGTGTCAAAGTGTCCAGAAGATTCTGCATCGCTCCATCTTGCAACCTCTACCCAATTAGAGAAGCTGCACGATCAGGTGTCCCTATCAAAACCAAAAGATGTCAAACATGACACTGTGGTGAACCACACTGTCACTGCTTCCCAAAGCGAAGGGAAATCACTTGATGAATCTTCTGCCTGCACTACTCCTATTAAACAACCGTCTGTGGATGTAGAGGCTGCTGATGTATCAGAGAGTCCTGGACTAACAGCCCACGAACCAGATACTGACTGGATAAAAGCTCTAAAAGAGGCTGCAGCCTGTTCTCAGAGTCACCAGAGAGTTAACTCAGTGGAGACCTCAAGGTAAACACAACAGTATGTGTGCAAAGTTATTAAACATACAATGTGGAGCAATTCTTCATTAAAATGCCAAACAACAACTAGACCTATGTTATATAGGTTGACTTGTGCACTTACATTTTTCAAAAAGATGTTCAAACTCAAAAGTTTTAGTGGTATTAGTAGTGTATCAACCACTTATTCACTCACTCCTACTTTACTATATAGGATCTTCTGTGTAAAGGACAATATAGAGAGCTCAACAACAAAAGAAAAATGTTTAGGGACAGGAGTCATCAATTTTCTCTGCGCCAGTTATTACGTCAGTTGCAGGACTATGACGGCATATGATGGATGCATTTTAAATATTTATTTGACACTTCTTAGGTGAAAAAAATGGCAAATGATCATCTTTAAATGTACAAATAAACTCAGTTTGTGCTGTGATGCACTGCACTTTTTTTTTTTTTACACTTTTGACATATAGAGAATCTCACTATATAGTGGACTACATCGTGATTAGTGAGTGATTTAGAACGGAGAGATCCCCAGTGGCACATGACACTTCACTGTAACTGTAATTAATGGAAAGTTCATGCCTTGCATATGTGTCTAAAAAGGTCAGTGGAGGTCATTATGCACCCCCCTTTATGCTTTCACGCAGCATGTTAGCTGTCTGTCACATATCATCTGCTCATGTATATCAAAGGCCCTTGCGTAGTCCGTTTTGTATTTTTGTCTTTGAGCCACATGTCAGAACCGTGATGGAGAATTTCTGACTTCAGTAAATCAATATCTTTATTCTCAATCATATTTCCATGTTGCTGTAAATCTGCTGTGTTCAGCTATTCACCAGTCATTTCGTATTCAGAGTTCTAAAGTTTTTTTCACCCTGGACTTGTTGGATATACAGAGAGCAGTGTGACAATGAATATGAATGAGGAGGTAAACACAGAGCTGCACTTTGTATTGACTCCAGCTCGGGTCAGATGACTGTGCCGGTTGAGGTCTTATGAACGTAATGCAGCCCTTTATATTCAAACGATGACATCAGCTGTGACACCGTCCCTGCTCTCCAGGGCAAGAATGAGCCTTATTTTTCTACACAAAACACACTGCTCAACAACAACAACACAAACACATGGGCACAAACCCCCACAGCCACACAAACACACACATTTGTCAATTGTCAGTCATTCCTTGTGCATATGTTGTAAACTAAAACAACAACCCCCTCCTCTCTGGAATCTTTCTTTCAGAGCCCTCCCATCTCTGGAGTCTCCTCAACTAGAGTTTCTAACTCCGACCGAGGAGGTAGCTGCTCCTCTGAAACAGGAGGAGGTTCAACCACCAGACTCGTCAGCAGAGAAGTCGACAGAGATCCCACCTCTGATTCGCGTGAAAAAGCCTGTGGATTTTCCTGAACCTTTAAAGAAGTCAGTAGATCTCCCAGAACCAACAAAGCTGACAGTCAAGTTTTCCGAACCAACACAAAGCACAACAGAAGAACCCTCAGAACCAACCAAGAGACAAGAGGAGCCTCCTGAAGAACCAGAAGCCAAAGCAGAGCCGGTAATTTCTTCAGAAATTGTTGAGGGGACAGCGGAGCTCCTAGAACAAGCACAAAGCACAGAAGAGCTGCCAGAATTAACGGAGAATGAGGAACAGGAACCAACAAAGGTGACAACAGAGCCCCGAGCACCTGAGGAGAAGCTGATCACTGAGCTGTCAGTTGAAGAACGTGTGGAGACCCCACCAGAGGGGCCACTGAAAGAACCAGCTGAGGCTGAGACAGACGCAGTCCAGGATCCTGCTGAGGATCATCAGGACAGCAGGTGAGTGTCTCTGTAAAACCAGAACATTTTTAAGTGTTTTCACTGAGACTGTTTCATCTTTACGTCTGGTAACCATGATCAGGATCTTTGAAAGGAGTTGTGTTGCTGTGTTTTACCTCGAATTGCAATTGAAGAACGTTTTTTTATGCCCTAAGGTACATGGGCCGCAGCTGTGAAATAAACTTAGGGGACACCTGACAGTTCGTGAATGCATGCATTGGGGAAAATATGAACCAAATGAACCGACATGAGCAACATTAAGTCAGTTAGAGGTTATAAATGTCGGTTTCGATACATTTTCGGTTAATTGCCCAGCCCTGATCTATAAGTGTGTGCAGTTTGGTGCAGCTTAACTGAATTAAAGAGGACTTTGCAGGGGTATGCGCACTACAGAGTGACATTGTAGTTATTGCTGTTTCCTGCAGTCAAAGTAATGAACATAATATCTACAGTGTCCAGTGTATATTTGCCAATAAGGCAACTACCAAGGGTCTCAGAGCTCAGTCAGAGTCAGGATAAAAAGAAAAAGCCCTTTTACTTCTCAGCTGACCAAAATCGGAGGTTTAAACATGAACACGTTCACACGGAGACTGGTCATTTGTGGTTGAGTGGTTTTCCAGCCTGCAACCAGACATTAAAATGATTTGTAGATTTCCTAACATTTCTACTACACTGATCCAAACAGAGACATTTTATTGCAGCTAACTTATGCGTTGTGTGTGGGCATATCACACATTGCCCTGCCTGAATGCACATAAATGGATTTCCATGTGCAAAGAGTCCATGTGGCTTTGTTTGCCTTTCAGACTCCTCGGGGGTGTCTGGTTGGCTGTTGTTGTCTGCGGTGGTTTAACAGTGTCAGACTGGACGAATGAGAAGGCGTTGCACACATATGTATTAGTCGATACGATGGCAGTGAACCCTTTATGTTATTAAAACTCCTGACTTGGTTAAATACACATAGTAAAGCGGTTCGGCCCGACATGTGGGGATTCAGTATTTATAGAAAGCTTTTTAACAGCTCTAGCTGGACTCTCTTTCCATGTATGTCACTGTTTTACTGAAAACCTTTGACATTGTTCATTGTGTATAAGGATGTGCTCATGAAAGTACAGTGAGTCTCTCATGCTGTTTGTTGCAGGCCCCATCCCCACATGCCAGAGTAGCACTTGCCGCCTGTCAGTCACAACATTTGTCCCATCACTGCTGTTGGGACAAGGTTTGTTCAGAGGAGTGACGGTGCTATTTTCACTATAGGTTTCATCAATGGATAAAGTTACACTTGCGTCTGTGTGGCAGAGACAGAAATGTGACTGCATGGTCAATGAATTGTGTGTGTGTGTGTATGTATGTTATTTTCCCCGCCCCCCCAGAGGCCGTCCTAGCTGTCAGTCCTGCTCAGTCTGTGCGGCTTTGTGAACTGAAGCCTGTAGTGGGAGGAATTTGGGCAGGCACTCAGCCCCACTGAAGTCATTTGCACAGAGCAGACAGAGTGGAACAAAAGCCAGAGTTCAGAGGAAGACTGGAGCATGTGCTGCGGCGTGAGTGTGTGTTAATGACAGAGTCTGTGAGGAGTCACAGACAGAGGGCAGGAGGACTTGGACGCACAGTTATCAGCCCTGGTGTTTTGGATCGGAGTCATTTTCATCACTTGTTGAAGTTACCTACTGAAGTCGTGTGATGGATTCCTCTATGGCAGGAATCTGGGTGAGTTGGCAAGAAGTAGCTGCCCTCATTTTCCCTCTGTGCGTGGGTGTGTGTGTCTACAGTAGTTGTTTGTGGTTAAGTCCCTCCAGGTGGATGCAGCAGATGGTCTGTAGGTAACTAGTGCTAATAACATTCTGCCTGCGCTGACCTCACCAGATGGGCAGAGGCGAGAGACCAATAGAAATACGAGGGGACAGAAGGCGGAAAAGAAAGAACAAAGTTGCGAAATAATTGGTGTACGTTTAAAAAATGTAACAGGTTATAGCATGTTGGGCTCCCCTCCCCTCCATGATTGAAGGTTTGCGAGATCTCCCCTCAGAAGTAAAAGAAAATCTACTGTCTCAGAGGTTTTCAGGAATCAGGGGTAATAAAAAGATGATTTTAGGCCAATAGCAGGAACTAAGCCACTGACTGGTTTGATGTATGACGTATGGTATAAACATGCCATGAAACTTTCTGGAAATCTTACACTTGATACAAAACAAACCTTTTTGCTATTTTTGTTTCTCATGAAACGTTCGAGAATGATCGTGACTCTTGAGCTTGGTATGCAGGATATTTCTCATGCGTGTTGTTGGAGTAATAAATGAAGTAGGATGTGCTTTAGCCCACATTGCACTGTAGATAGACCAGTTGCCATGGCGATTGTAGTTTCATATGTTTTGCTGTTTTTGAGTGAAGCAGATTTCATGTCATTCATTCAACCACACAAGACTGGTCTTTAAATGATGATTAGATCAGAGGAGTGGACGGTGGAAACAAATTAGTGGCTTATTTATGATGTCTGTGTTTGTAATATATACAGTCAGTGTGTCCCTGAGTGTGCAGCACAGTGTGTGTAGGAACAGTATGAGCAAGCTGCTGGCTGCATTACAGACGTGGTCCTCCCATCATTACAGCATTTACAGAAAAAACACTTTGCTCAGGACCTTCAGCTAGTTTTGTTTACAGCTTTATTTATCATTAAACACCATGACTGGACGTTCTGTCTTTCTCACATCCAGCTGTTTCCTGTAGATTTCACTAAGTGTGCATGTGTTTGGCTTGAGCACAGTTCAGGACACATTTGTTTGCTTAACGCTCAGTCATTAAAGTGAAAGTTGGAGAATCAGGTTTTGTTATCTTGACTTTATAACGATATATATGCATCCTGTCCTGTAAAATCCTGATTAGCTTTTTTCAAGAAGTGCTCATGAGTTACCCTTCACACTGCTCAGTTATCAATATGGAATGAGTGAATTGGGCAGCCTGCAGGCGTTGATTCTGATAGTGGAGCTCTGCTGACATGAAGAGATGTGTTGCTGAACAAGAGCACATGTGCACCCTCTGAATTGTTGCACTCATTCCTTAATGGTAATAAAAACCTCCTCTAGTTCATACACATCATAACCGAATCAGTAAGTACTCCACACGTCCTCGTGTCCAGGGGGATATTACCGTCTACCCTCTGCTGCTTGCTTCTGTTCCGCTTTGGCGGCAGCGTGAGTCTCGGTCTATGTTTTGACTTGTTTCTATTTCCAGGCTGCATGTGCAAAGTTAGCCACAGATGCTTATGACATGTAGCTCTAAAACTGCAGGGGAAAACACACACTTTAAAACATATATGTTATTATAGCATGTTTCCTCTTCATGCAACCATCCTGCATCAATTAAAAATCTGTACTCTTATAATGGGATGATAGGAACCAGACCCGCTTTAAACTCTAACTTGTGACGCCCTGTAGAAAAGCACACGCCCTCGTTAAAGGTTATTAAACTGTGACTTTTCTTGAGAACAACAGAGTTTCAGTTTCAGTCTGGTTGGAAAGTGCAGCTCAGCAGACAGTTGATGCTCTATCAATGTGAATGTGGTTTAGTTTTTTTTCCAGAGCTTATTGTTGAAGCACTGTTCTGCAGAAAAGGCTGCTGGGGGGTATTTTTAGAGCTAAACAGAAGGCATGCCCCAAGTGGGTAACAGCTGCACGGGGCGTCCACCGCATTGCCTGTCAGATTAGACTACTCCTCCTGATAAGACCAGCCTAGATCTGTGCCAAATCCACTCCAGCAATGATGACGGACACTGCTACCTACAGACAGGCTGCTTCTATGCTGAGGATGAGTGGAGCAAAGAAGGGAAACATGGGCTGTCATGTAGAGGGCATCAGTGGAGTTACACGTTCAGTTTCATGTCATTTAAACGACAAAGCTTCCTTAGAATTGTTGAAGTGAGCTTTTTCTTTCCAAGTCACAGAGCAGAGTGTTCTGTCTTTCTCTTATCTCAGGTAAGTTTCCTTCATGGGAAACAAGAGTTTGTAAACCAAGCTCTTTTCAAATCGCTGTACTCGGCCGCCTTATTTCAGTCTCTGTGTTGATGTGTTTGCGCTCCATCCCCTGCAGGCCCACCCTCGCTGAGCAGGCACAGAGAAGTGGCTGTCCCCCTGCCTCTCCCCTGCCTCCTACTCCCCCCTTCCTGCCTGAGCCCTCTCCTCACCTCCACGACAGCGCAGAGTTCCCCACTCCTCCTCCCACACCCCCGGAGAGACACACACCTGAAGTAACCCCACCTGCATCCCCCAGCCTTCCTCCTCCTCTCCCTCCTCCTGCAGCCCCTGCATCCCCTCCTGCACCTCCTGCTCACTTTGAGGACCCCTGCCCTGCTCCTGCACCCCGCCACCAACAATTAAGGTAAGCACATGAGCTCTGCCTACCTGTCTCTGGTTCTGGACCTGTTCTGAATTCTTCATAATTCGTGTCATGTTAAAAAAGGTGATGTGACCGTGTGAGTGTTTTCTTGTGTACCTCTGCTATGCTTTAGTGGTAAGTCCAGTAAAGATTTGTCCTGGGCTGACACTAGTCCTTTTAGCCTCCTTTACAAGAAGTAGCCATGGCTTTATCCCTTCAAGTCCAGTTCAAGTCAAATTAACGCATTATGTCGACATCTGGTTCACTGATTTACGTGTTTATTCTTAGAGCGCCAGACATTTGGGGGAAATGTGCATATATTCTTACCAGTGCTTATATGAGAAAACTGATACCACTCCCACATCTACATGGTAAATATAAAGCTGCGGTGGGCAGGTGGTTAACTTGGCTTTGCATTAAGAGCGGGGAAAGAGTTAGCCTTACTCCGTCCAAAGATAATAAAGATCTATGTATCTGCACCCTTCCTGTTTCAGTGGTATCAGTAATCTCATGTAGCTCTCAACTACAGAAAGGAGCGTATTTCTTTAAATGTTGAATTATTCCTAGAAAGCAGCTGAGCAGCAGTGAAATCCAGATTTATTACCCCACTCACAAAATTACACCATAGCCTTGCTCTATGTGCCTACCACATGATCTCAAAGGAAATAGGATTTGCCAATGTATGAACTTAGTGGTCATGGAATTTCTAAAGTAATGTATAATTATGGCTTTCACAAGAAACAAATGATTTTTGTGGAGCACTTCAACACCATGTTTTTTCTATCATAACCACTTGGCGTATTATGACTAGTTGTGTATCACTCTAGTAATGGCACACAGCTCCATTTCATTCATAACTTTCATGCTGATTATATTTAAATGCTTGTCATTATTTTGCTATCAGTACATTAAATACTAAACATTCCTCTGCAGGGCGTTTGGTCCTCGCAGTTATTTATTTTCACAGACTTGATTTTGTAGGAGGGTATGACTCAGCCACTTTTACAGTTCAGTGTTATGTACAACCAGCAGAGGGCGCAGAGTCCAGTGCTCATGTTTTAGTGCTGGCCTGTGTCTGCACTGTGTGGTCTGAATGCTGCAGTAACCAGGTGTTTATAAATGAATGAACACTGGAAGACAGACCTCTCATGTATCTATACATCAGTATTATATCGGAAAAGACTGAATTGTTTTCTATTTAWAWWKATATATATATATATATATATATATATATATATATATATATATATATATATATATATAATATTAGCTATTTACTTAATGCTGTTTGGCTTATAACCTCCTCCTGTGCTCAGAGAAGACCAGAACCCAAAGAGGGCTTGGAGAGAGTAGTGTTGTTATATTATTTATAACATCTGAGAGGGCAGCAGTGGAGAGAACGGGTACCAGCATAGTAACATGGGCAGAATGTTCTGATTGGATGGCACAGATTGTTTGCCTGCAGAAACACAGAGGTGCAACAACACCAACGTACGTGCAGGTAAAAGCTATACTTCCAGTAAAGTGCATTAGTTTGAGTATGAAAGTCATAATGGAAAGAAAACTGATATTTACTGATAATTAAGTGATGATGTATCAGCCAGACTAAACCTCTCTCTCTGCTGTCAGACATTTCTTATCTTGCTCTTGAATCTGGCTCCTGTTATTGAAACACAGCCTTCTTCATCAATTAAGTCGATTCAAAAACGAAATATTCTTTATGTGCTTTTTCCTGAGGGATTTTTTAAGAGTTGTCAGTAACACAGCTTTTTTTGCATATGCTTTTTGTTTTAAAGACAATCCCTGACAGCTCGAAAGACAGCCCCTCCCCATTTGGTAATTTGTGATTATCTTATGAGTACACGTATTCCTTTATGTGAGCCAGATATAGAGCACTGCATTTTAGAAGCTGCAATTATTTGACCCGTAACTGTGACAAGCGTAAATTGCTCCATCCCCCCAGTGAACCTCAAAGGGTTAGAGGTATAGAAAATGGATGGATGTATTGTTTATGGAGCTTTATCTAAGCTTCAGGTTCTTAACCTGCCTGATCAGCAGCTGTTCAGCAGAACGATCAGAGGAGCAGATCAGCACAGATACAATAACTAAAACTAGGATTCCCCAAAACTTGTTTTTATGAATTGCAGAGCTGCTTTAATTTGTTTTCTATATTCTGCTTATTGTGTAGTATTTCCAGTCTGTACTATAGCACAGCATTTTTACACTTAGCAGCAACAATCTGTCTTACACATTTGGCATTAGGCTCCCACTTTGTTGTAAATGTGTGATCACTCATGTGGGAAGAGCGATTTCATGGTTTACCACAAAGTCTGTTTTCTATTTATTATCATTTTAAACAAAAATGAATATGAGCTTGTACCAGTGATGAAGGTGCGCACTTTCACCATAACTGCTTTGATAATTACAACCCAAATTTCACCACAGCACTTCCAAAGATGCTTTTGGTGATAATCCGCCAACATCTTCTGTCAGTATTTGAAAGTAAGGCTTGATAAATCTGTAACTAACAGCAGCTCTTTGTGAACTCTCAACTCCATGTTTTAATTTTTTCAGCGCAGCTAAAACACATTAAACAGACACAACGATATTATAGGTTGTCTTCTAAAGAATAAGTATATAGGAGTCTTGCAGGCTACATTCTGGAGGACGGTAGTGACACTGATTCTTCTTGAGTGCCATTATGAATCTTTCAGACAACCACAGCCACAGCCATAATTTCCAGTGCCTGAGTTTGCTGAATTTTTTATTTCTTCATGTTCTTCGGGCTGCAGTTGAAACTGCACGGTGAGGCCAGACTGAAAACGGCAGCAAAGAGAGGATGTTTATGCTGCTCATTCAATACAATAGGAACTTGTGATCGACACACACTGAACAAGCTTTGCTGCCCTACATACGTCTGTGAACCGGTTTGGGGTCTGCACGGCAGCAGTAATCAATATCTATGCTTTAGCAGGGGTCTGTGTTGGGAGCTGGGAGTGGGCAGCATTTTTTACTTGTCCCCCCGGGCCATGAAATGTCGAACAACAGTCTCATCTGAGACTAGAGATACATCGATATTCTTTGTGAACATCTGTTAATGGACTTCATGTTTACATGCAAACAGTGGCCCCTTTTAAATGTGGTGTTAGGTTAGTTAGTGTGTATTATGTTGTGCAGTGGAACTACATATCATTGTCTTTTCAGTGTGACACCTAAATCCTGTGAGCAGCAAGTGTGTGACTGCAACTGCTGCAGGTTGGAGTTTCTATTGTTGTGAGCCCTCGTTTCCTCACATTCCCATAAGCGAACAATAGATTTATAGCTCTCATATTTCCACCATGCAGCGAGTCGTTTTCCCACTGCTGCTGGACAATCAATTGGAAATTTGTAGAACCTGTTCCTGCTCCTATTTCCATCCCACGGGACACGTTCTCTGTGTATGACACACAGATAACAGATAAAAAAACAAAATTGGATGACACAGTGAGACAGAATATCATTATTGCTCTTCAGATATTTGATGAAGCTTAAGATAAGGTTTGGTGAAAGTGCCTGTAAAATAGATTTCTTCTGCCCAGGGATTTGACACGGAGACACTTTTTTATTTAGAAATGTAAAAGCTCATATAGCGGTGACAACATGTCCCTGCCTTTTTCCTCTAATGATAGCTTGTAAATGTTTTTTTGATTTCTTATTGAAATATGTAATCTTTCTTTTAATTGGTCCTGTATTTGCTTTTCGGTTTATGTTGATTCTGAGTCACTGCTGGAGTGGCTTGACTGAAACCTAATATAATGGGGTCAGAGTTGAATAATGCACATACATACTAGTTTCCCAGAGTCTATTGTTTACCTCAGGCAAAACTCTGGTTGGCTACGCTGAGTCGTGGAGGCTCCCATTGTGGGAAAAGGAGGCAAAAAAAGATGATATTTTCTCTATGCAACATGCAGGGTAAGAGAGAGGGATCCTGGGAGGACAAAGGCGATGTCGAGAGGTAGGGTTACTGTGGAAGAGAGGAAGAAGGAGGACTGACAGAGTGAAAGAGAAAGCCCTTGTTATGTAGTATTGGGGGTCTGCTATTGTTTGGCTCCCCTGCATAATCGAGGTAGTCAAGGAAAAAAAAGCTGCTTGTCTTTTTAAAGGCACAGGAGGCTGCTGTCAGGGGAGAGAGTGGAGGAGAGAGGGGGAGGAGGCAGAGAGAGCAACACAGCTCAGCGATATTAGAGACCAAACACAGAGCACCTCTCACACTCACAGGACACAGAGAAAACAGGATTATCTTTTTGCCCCATCTGCTGTGGATGATTCCCCTCTCGACATTTTGCTCTTGGAGGTTTTGTTCCTTCCTGGTGCTGCATCATTTGAACCTTCAGATGAGATGCAGGAATATTCCTGGTGTGTAGAGGAGCAGAGGTTTGGGGGATGCTACGTGTGAAGTGACGAGCCCTCCATCATCCACTGCTCTCCTCCTGATGCGAGCTCATCCTCTGCACTGCAGCACAGTCAGCTCGGCCGGGGCTCTCCTCCTCTTGCACAGGCTGCCTCCTCTGCAAGGATCGGAGTGAGAGGCGAGGGTAGAGGGGGAGCAGGTGAATGTGGAGGGTGGCCGGAAAGCTGGAGCAGGCAGGGGGGACAGGGGGGGCAGAGCTAGCTAAGGATGGGAGCCAACGAGTCCATGGAGCATGGACAGACCCCCTATCCCTCTCAGGAACACATGTGAGTTGACTTCAATTGCATTCATGCTCAGTGTTCTGTCCGGAAGTGTGCAGACTGAGGCGATCAAGCAAATTAAGAAACAGAAAAATGACTTAATTAAAAGCTAAAGCTCTGGGGAGCTGCTCCAGCTGTTTCTGTATTGCTCTTGCATGTTATGATTTATTTACTCATGGCTTTACATTGACTTCCCATGCAACATAAATGTTACTTGTGGGTACGGAGTGTTTTATTATGCATCATGTACTCACGTGCCGAATAAAGCCTGACACACATTTCTGTCTCTGAGA